ATGCTCTTCGCTGACTCCGCCCCTGCGCTCAGACGCGTTTTTATGGCCAAGTGCGATGACACCATTGTTCGTACCCACAAAGTTCGGTTCGCAATGTGTGTAAACTTTTTGAGTTTGCAGAGAACCCCGAAAAAGGCGCAGTTTTAAGATTTCGTGATAGATGACCATATTCTCCTTTCAGTTTCATGTGGCAAGAAAAAAGGCAAAACTGCTCACTAGGCGCGCATCCATCTGCACGTATCATTCTCATCATAATTACAAACTTTCTCACCTAACGACGAACAACAGCAGAATAGATGTTCGTAGGGACATTATCAGAGGACGGAAATGGGAGGACAGATGGAAGAAGGGGGTTCATCTCGTCATCAAATAATGAAGGATTAAAGAACCAAAACAACCCAAGCCCCACCGGAAAATGCTCCAAAGTGGGAGACAAAAGTAACAGACAATTGCGTACATCAGTGGCTCCCAACCTTTCCCGTCCCCTCACGCTCTAGAAAATTTCAAGACGTCCTCCCACCTCCTACAACAATACTTAAAACGTCCTCGCATCCCTCATACCATCCACTCTATATCTGTCATCCACCAAGGTGAGTGTCTGTAGTGCAGTATACGACTAGAGTACGTGCTGAAGTATTATGTTCAAGTTTGTTCAGCAACCACTTGATTTCTTAACACCATTGCAACAAGCACATTTTTGGCATCAGGAGAGCATAAAGTTTGTTGGTGCAGTATCTGATTTCTGAAATCCGCCTAATTTTCTAGTGATACAGCATGCAGTTGAGCGAATTCTCTGTAACGCCAAACTATGTTTTCGAAGATCTATATATGCTCAAGCTTGAGTTGATAGATGAAGAGATGTAGGTAATTGTCCAAAGATATGTGGCATTGATAAGCGAGTTCATTATAACGAAAAATTTTTTTTTTTCAATTTTAGCAATTTTTTACCAAATTTTCACTCCAGCATATTCCTACACGAGCAGGTGGACTTATCCAACCCACTGGAGTTCATTCAGTAAACCTGGCACCACAACGATAACACTCTCTTCCGATCGCATTCCTGCTCATCTCATTTGGCACTATACAGTTCATTAACCCAATCCTCACTGATTGTGAGTAATCATTTTTTTTGAATCGCTTGCGAGCCATCACAATCGCTCATGGATGTCAGTGTTTCCGATTCTCTGATCCGATTTTGTAAACATTCATCATTTTTGTAATGCTTTCGTTGATGCAATCATGCTACCCATTAAGATAGCAGCGGTGCTACTGGGAGTGATATCGAAATTGATCGATAGTACTTGCAAGAGAAAAGGAAACGTTGATATTGACAATGAGCCAAGCCTATCGATGAAGTGAAATCAGTAGAGGAATGTTGAACACTTATGAGATTCTTTATGTTCTTCTCGGTTCCGATTGAAAGCTGACATTACAAGGAGGTTTTTTACTGGATACCTTTAGTTTTTATGGAAGCATTGATTATTTCTTTTGATTGGTTGAGACCATTTCTTCTGCGGTGCGGTAAAGAAAAACATTTGAGCAAGTCTATATTTATTAATTGATATATAATATCTTCGCAATAACTAAAGGTTGAACGATGCATAACACTGTTACCGAATTGATCATAGTCCCAAATAATTTTAATGGAATGAGACGAAAAGGTGAACAGAAGAAAGAAGATGGACCCATTTTCTAGTAGAAATGTGACAATACGATGATGACTTCGATGTCGAACTCACTTCGTTGTGGTGGAAAATAGCACGGTGGACTGGTGACATGTTGATGCATGAAGGAAGACTAGGGTGCTTCATGCAGCGATGGACTTTTGTTTCCACTATTAATACCAGTTATTCAGAGACTTAACTAATCTGATAATGGTGCTGTGCACTGAAGCTTCATTCAAAGATTCCAAATAAAATACATATTTGTAATCTTTTTCTTAAAAAAGCGAAATTCTATCTTTTTTCAAGAAAACAACATTTTTAAAACATATTCTGCACTCATCATATCTGATTAAATATTGATGTAGGAACGAGGCCACGGTCTGGAGCAGGAAGTTTTTGAACTATGTTGGCGTCACAATCGTTTTTGGTTTCAAGCAATACGGATGGACTGGCTAGAGGATCGTAAGATTAAGAAAGAGACCAGTTATGGATAGTCAAGCACATATGATAAGAAAATTGAAAATGAAAAGTGCAACATTTATTCGTGTTCAGAAAGAAGTTGATGCTCGGATGCACTTAATCTCAAATGTATCCGAACTGTTTTATAGCGAATACCTAAAAAAAAACATCAAATAAGGTTTCGAACGTTAATGAATGAAATATTCACGTCAGACTGATAATATATGTCATGAATCTTTAGTAATGATCATTTGAAATGGCCTGGAGCATACCAACGAAATTTCTTTAACATCTGATGTGATTATCAATTCGGCGCTAAATGAAAAGTCAGCTTATGAATGGGATTTGAATCAGAGAGGATTTGAATTTGCTTCCGTTAATATTG